GACTCAGGGCGGCTGACAGCCTTATAAAACCAATGCTACAATAAATACCTAATTTAAAACCGAATTAAAAAGAAATATTTGTTATGGCCTATATAATTAAAATTTCTCTTAAAAACCCCACTAAAATTCCCTAGGCCAATCCCGCTTGTTGGAAGAGCCATGTCTTTAGGGCGTGGCGGAAGGAGGGGAGATCCGGGATGGAGGAAGAGAAGAAAGGGATGGAGGAGGAAGGTGGAGAAGAACATGGAGGAGAAGAAGGATAAGGGGATGGAGGAGGAAGGTGGAGAAGAACATGGAGGAGGAGAAAGAGAAAGGGATGGAGGAGGAGAAGAAAGGAGTGAAGGAGGAAGAAGGTGGAGAAGAAAATAGAGGAGGAGGAGAAAGAATGGAGGAGAAAGGGGAAGAAGAAAATGGAGGAGAAGAAAGAGGAGGAGGAAGAGGAGGTCCTTTTCAATTCTGACTGTGTTTTATCTCCTCCCTTAAGAGAGAAAAGAGGGCAAAGAGACGCCCCAAAGCTTCCGAGTTCCCCCCCCCAGACGTCTCCGTTACAGCGAATCGCTCTTCGTGATGCCGAGGAACCTTGAGGTCCTCACCTTGGGACCAAGCCCAGGGCTTCAGAGGCGGGGCTGCTTAACAACCAACTCCTCCCTTTTCCAGAGAATCCTTTTCCAGGGAACTCGGCCCTTGAGAGAGAGAGAGAGCGTTGCAAATTCCCAGCAGGGGCTTCATCCTCCTGGCTTCCCAGAACTTCCTCCCTCCTCCTCCCTCACCCTGCAACCCATTTCACCCCAGGGCTCCCCTCCCCGTTTCTCCCACTGCCACCAAGGACGGATGCCAGATTCCTTTCTTCTGGAAGCGGACGGTTCAGGGAACCTTTTATATGTTCGCTGCGCTGCTTTGCCGGGAAGAGGCAGGAGAGGGGTGGGAAGCCCTCTCCTTCTGCCCCACATCGCCCCCCCCCCACCCTCAGGGAGGGGCTGCCCCGGTCTGGCCTTCGCAACTAACTATCAATCCGAATAGAGCTGGAAGGGGTCTCGGAGGTCTTCTAGTCCAACCCCCTGCTCAGGCAGGAGACGCTCGGCCATTTTAGATAACAGAATAAGAGAGCTGGAAGGGGCCTCGGAGGTCATCTAGTCCAACCCCCTGCTCAAGCAGGAGACCCTCTGCCCTTTTAGAATAACAGATTTGGAAGGGGCCTCGGAGGTCATCTAGTCCAACCCCCTGCTTATTTTAGATACCAGAATAACATTTGGAAGGGGCCTCGGAGGTCATCTAGTCCAACCCCTTGCTCATTTTAGATAACAGAATAACAGGTTTGGAAGTGGCCTCGGAGGTCATCTAGTCC